TATTTTTCGTGCGTTATTGTAATCACTACTAAATAATAATCACGAATATCAACACTTCGAAAACAAGTAAGTTATTCACTTGTGACCCGCAGCATGGCCGGATCGAGCTACCGTTATGTGATCATTTGCTACTAAGCAGTGCATTCGTGTTTTTATTTGAAACTTCTGTTAGAATATACTTTTCGTTACCAAGAAAATTAAAAAAATAAATATTACATTAAAAATACCGAGTATTTTTTGTATCATGTTGAATTTTTTTTTGATTGACTGTAATTTTTCAACATTTCCTAACGCCTATTTTAGAACCAAAATAAGGCCTTTCACTCTTCCCCGACGCCTATTCAAGAGATTGTACGGTGTATTGTTTGTTTTGTGCATGTGTTGTGGAAAAAAAATGACCACGCCCATTTAGTGATTGCAATATGTACGTAATAGAAACCGCACCCCGAACTTGAGCTTTTGATCCCAATTTTTAAATTGATACATTGTAATATAAACCGCGGTATAATAGGACTTTAACGGTAATTATAACAAGGTATTATAACAAGATTGTACAAATCTTTAAACTACTGTAGGTGAATATTGCTATATTATAAATTAAAACAAAAATATGAATCAGAATTTAGGCAAACAAATTCTTACCATGTGAAGTTTTAATTTATATTTTTGATGAGGTGATGGGCTTCTGTGGCTGCTTTCTTTGCTATTCTGTTGAAATAATGTCAGAACCGTTTAATAAAATGAATTGTTGGCAACAATGCGCACGTAAGCGTCCACTTATAATAAAAACCAACATGGCTGCGCCAGGGTTTGACCAGACATAACCCACATAAAGAAGTTCACTAAATCTGTTCTAAACGTTTTGGATTTCGGCATTCCCATTATGTATCCCTGGGAGGAAAAGATGTATAATAATAAGTACTCAGACAATGTGCGGTCACATTGATCTATGCTGCACGTCGGTTGATATTCCCGCTGTATAGTCTTTATGCATACTTTGCAGTATCCTTGCACTAACCTCATAATATTATATCAGAGAGATCTAGCAGTGTCTTATTCAAGACAAATCAGATATAAATTTGTAATCAGTTATAGTTTAGACAGTATTAAGCATAAACTCAGCTTCAGCAATCACAGTTAAGATATTATACATACAGAAAGAATACTGGGGGAAAAAGAAGATAAATAACTCACATCTGATGCTTTATCACCTTTACCATTGCCACCATATACAAGTTTCTCTAAATATGCTAAACCAGGGACTGCTTTATCTGGCTGATACATACACAGATACACTTCAATCAGCAAGAACAGAATCTTATGAACTAAAACCTCATCTGAAACAATAAAAAAAAATCAAATTTACAGCAAAACATGTAATAATTAGAAAACAAACAAACAAACTGGATTTCCAAAACACTTGTCGAGATACCTGTACAATTTTTATTCATAATTTTTACAAACAAAATGTTGCATCAGGCAAGCACATATGACTTTTTTTTTCATGTGAAATGCAAATGCTGAAGGTACATACTGTAAACATGTCTTTTTGCGCGAGCATGTCTTTTTCGCAAATTTAGCGAGAGAACTGATTTGCTAATTCAAGATGTCGCTAATGACTTTATTATCAATTCAAAATGGCCGCCAAACAAAGATATCAACAATGATAAGAGAGATTCGCTAAATCAACATTTCGCTATTACATCATTTTACTACAATTCGCTAAAATTGCATGCCGCTTTTTCAGCATGTTTTACAGTATATAGAAATCAGGGCAGTGTGACCATCTTCCTATCGTAATTCAATACAGTATCCTGGTGTCATGTAACCATACTTAGTTTCAGAACACAAGCACCTCAAGTTTCCCCCTAAATTCACATCAGTTATTGATTTAATCTTAACCCAAAAAACCTCATAAGTTGCTATCATTTTAGTCACCAGGGGTTTTTCTAGAAAAAAACTGCCTAAGGAAGCACTGCAATTCAGCGGCGCCACCAAGTGGGGGAGATAGGTTCTCCCTACCAGGGTGTAGAGTTTTTGATAATTCTAAGTTAAAATGGAGCATTCTAGGACTTCCTTGGGGCCAAAATTACTATCAGGCAGGTCACAGTTGTAGACTGTGGCCACATGTGATCCCTGGTCAATCAGAATTTTATGGTTGCCTGAGGATCTGCTACCCAGGGTAAGGTTGCGCCCCTGTTCCCATGTTTAAAAAAATCCCTGGACACAATGGCAACTAATATTTATGATCCATAGAATAACTTAATTGCTGATAATTAAATTTTTTTTGCTATTTCATCACTTGGTAGCACATGACTATCCATAAAGGATTTGCATAATATATGAGGCAGTCATCTTTATTTCATAAAATTAAGCATTTTTTGCATTTGTTTTTGTACAGTGCAAAAAACTAAGTCAACTAATAGACATGGCAAAACAACAAATTTTGTTAAAAGGAAATATCAGCTTCTGGCTGGATATTTTTCTGGTTAGAATTGAATAAATGTGTTTATTTGACCGCTGCACATTTATGTACTCCCAGACAAGGCTGTCAACACTGATTTGTTTACCAGTTATATACAATTACAAAAAGAAATATCAAAATACTTGATGAGGAAATGGCAACTGACTTTCTGAATCCAGTATCTAAATTTTCATAAACATTTGCTGCTTGGTCATCAGTGGCACCTAAAAATGACAGAAGCTAGTCAGCTAGGACTGGCTAGTAGCTTTGCCGGGATCTGCAGCATACTCAACCCTCTGTTTGGTGTTCAACCCTGGGTAGGATTTGAACTGAGAACCAACCAATTATGATTCAAAAAAAAAAAAGTACACTTGCACAGAGATCCATAAGTAACAATAACATAGAACTTACCAAGAGGTTCAATAAATTGAAATAACTTTTCTAGTATTCTTGCTGACTCTTTATACTGATGTAAATAGTACAAAATAACAGCATGGTTGTAATAGAGTATAGCATGCTCTATGTCTTCCAAATTATCAACATCCTCCAAGTAAACTTGAGCCTATAGTCAACAAGAAATAATTAGTGATGGTTATTCCTTCACAAATAACACTGTATATTTTTCAATTTTGTTTGAGAATTATTTTGAAGGCAATAAACTTAAGTTGGTAAAAATGCAACACAGATAATGCATCTTCTAAATCTATGTTGAGTATTGGATATTTCTGAGATCCTGATTGAAAAGCGGTTAAAACCGGTTTAATTTCAAAATGAACAAGTCATTGTCAATGACACGTCCCCGTTCCGTTCATATTTGAGTGACATATACATTCAAAGCAGATCATGACTGAAATGCACCTGTATATGTACAACACATTGTACTAAATCTGAACAAAATCCATCCATGCATGACTGAGATCCGGTTCCGGAATTGTGAAAATACGTGATTTTGATGCATTTTCGGCCTTAAAATGGCCATCATTCAGCTATTGTTAGGCGGATCATGAAACAAATACACATATCTATTTGTGACATGATGTACAATGTACCATGTGTGTGTGTGAAGTTTGAACTTGATCAATCCAGACATGTCTCGGATACGGATCCAGAACTGAATTCTTTAAAACAAAATGGCCGCTAGTCGGCCATTTCAAACCCGATCCAAAAAAAAATGACGTGCATCAAGGTCCTATTATGTTTAATGTATGTATCAAATTTGAACAAAATCCGTCCATGCATAACTGAGATCCGGGTCCGGAATGGTGAAAATGTGTGATTTCAATGCATTTTCGGCCCTAAAGCGGCCGCCATTTGGCTATCGTTAATGAGATCATGAAACAAATGCACATACATATTTATGACATGATGTACCTTGTGTGTGTGAAGTTTGAACTTGATCAATCCAGACATGTCTCGGATACGGATCCAGAACTGAATTCTTTGAAACAAAATGGCCGCCAGTCGGCCATTTCAAACCTGATCCCAAAAA